ACGCCGGATTCGCCTATCTGGTTATTAGCTAAAGGGAAGCACAATAAAGCCCAGAAAAATTTAGGAAAATTAAGAGGATGGGTATCCCACGATAAATGTGTGAGCGAATTTAATGAAATGGTTATTTATACGATCGAAGCTGGTAAGAAATTCTGATTATNGATCGAAGCTGGTAAGAAATTCTGATTAAAGCTTAAGCTATTATTGAAATAAAAAATAAACTATCGTTAATTTTATACAATTTAGTTGACGGAAATGAAACAGAAAATCTTGGCTCGGTCTGGCGACAACTGATACAACCCGATGTGATCAAACCATTTCGTCTTCTAGTATTCTACTTCTTCTTTTCAAACTTACTTTCTGGAGTACCGTATTCGCCATACTTAATAGAAGTATTCACTAGATTTGGTGCTCCTGTTAACGTGGAATGGACAATAGTATGTTTTATTTTATTAAGAACTAACCAGTTGTTATAGTCCAGAAATTTTATAATTAAATTGTTATTTATTATATAGACTAGTTAATTATGTATGTTGTCATTCAAAAATATAAAGTTGACACCTCAATAAGGTATAAAATATGAACATAAAAAACACATAATTGATAAATTGAGAGAAACGTGGACAAAAAAATAAATCCTTAAAACTTTATTTTTCAACTATTTAAATGGTTCATGAAAAATTAATCATTCCATATAATGTTTATTTTTATCATTGTTCGTCACTGAATTTGTTATCTATAAAACAAATGGTAAAAATGAATAAAAATGTATAATAATGTATAATAATTACAAAAACAAATTGAGTAATTCATCACATTATTTTACAAAACATTTTGTCACAGCTTCTCTATGAAAACCTTAAAAAATAAAGTTGTTACAAATAATACGCCACTCCCGACCACTGTAGNTAAAGTTGTTACAAATAATACGCCACTCCCGACCATTATAAACGACAATAATACATAATTACTATAATTAAACTTTTAACTCTAATATTATTACATGAAAACTAATGTTTGGTTGGTTTTGTAACAGTCATTTTCAATGCTTCTGGGAGTTTTTGCCGGAATATTGACGATATTCTTAGTAGGAAGACTTGGAAAACGGTTTCTCACACTATCAACAATAACCATTTGCTCAATATGTTACATATCAATTGGATTTCTCGGTATCTACCGCGATTCCTCAAATGAATCATTTTCTTGGTCAATATTAGTATTGTATCTGACAACAACTCTTGCATCGTCCCTAGGAGTTATGCCTATTGCATGGATACTTTTAGGCGAAGTTTTTCCCATCAAGTAAGTAAACAAGATGAATAATTGTTTTTGTTGAATTTTCCAATAAATATGAAATAATTAAATATATAAAATATAAATCACATTTTAAAAAATCGCTTAAAAATTTAATAATTTCTCTTTTAATTTTTGCTAACAATTTTTTATATATAACTGTTTCAGGACTAAAAACATAACTTGTAGCGTGTGTTCAGTATTGTCATTTGTCTTTACTTTCTTTTTCACTAAATTTTATCAAGATTTTGAACACTTAGTAGGATTTTACAATACGTTTATCTTTTTTGGAGCGGGAGGATTGATTGGATTGATTTATTTTTATTTTTTCTTACCGGAAACTGAAAATAAAACATTAAAAGAAATTGAAGAATTTTTTAAATAATAAGTTGAACACTGTACCATACAGGGTAACTGGATATCTAGTCATTACTGAAGGACATGTTTTGGAAAATCGCATTGTTTCAGAACTTTTGAAGTTCGAAAGTTCAAAAGTTGATGCATATTCATGCTGTACATTGAAGGGCTTGTANTTTTGAAGTTCGAAAGTTCAAAAGTTGATGCATATTCATGCTGTACTTTGAAGGGCTTGTGAAGTCAGTAAAAACATCTTTATTTAACGCAATTTTTTTTACATCACTTATAATATGTCACCAATAATTATAATATTATGTGAACAAATACAACAAATTTGTTGTTTTTCTCATGTTTTAAGAGACAATAAAACAAGCCTTTCAATAATTATGTTCCTTTGATGTATATGTTTTAACATTCACACCAAATTTTTTATTTTTAATGTAAAATAATAATTTTTATATTTTTATTAAATTACTACATTTGTTGAATTTTTAAATTATTTAGTATTTTTATAACACATAAATTTATTTATATTTTTTATGTATTGCTATTAAGTTTACATGTCTTAATGTAATTCTTGTTTCGTATAATAAAATAACACTTATACACAGCTGTGATAATAAAATATGTTAGATTATTTTATTTCTTAAGAGGTAATGATTTGGGCCACGCAATATATTACGGAGTCGCCACCCTCATAGACACCTAGTAGTCAAGAAATATTGGGTAACCAACACTTATGTGAGGGGTTTAATTATAAAAAAGTCACCGGACAATAAGTGGATTAAAAACAAAAAAGTTAAATTGAATTAACTCATAAATGTTCAAAAATTATTAACCACCAGTTATTTTTTAGTTAGATCATCTTTTTGTTTTTCAATCATTTAA